TATTGATTGATATTTATTGATTTTAGTTTAGTTTAGTTTAGTTTAGTTTAGTTTAGTGCGTGGGCGAGGGTTGAGTGTGAAATGTTAAGTGTTAAGTGGAAAATATAAAGGTAAAGTGTGAAGTAGTTTGATGGAGGCTGGAGGTTTTCATATCATATCATGTCATGTCATGTTTTGGCTAGGCTAGGCGCTGTTTAGAGTCTACTGTAGACTACCGGTTCCTATGATGATGATTTTGAATTTCCTGTGGATGATTTTTGCATCTGGATATGGATATGGACATATTGTTACTTGGTGAGAATAGGTAAATAGGTAGGTATATATATACGAGTATATTCAAATTACAATACCCAAGTTCTTTTGGGAAATATAATACTATAATATGATACAGGAAAACTATTGGAATGTCAACGTGGAAGCTTTGACGGTGTCAATGGGTAGTTGAATAATGGAACAGATATAATACCTAATTCAATTCAATCTAATCTAATCCCAGCAGCGAGGTAGAAGTAGAAGTAGGTCACATCAATACCAATACACACTCACTGTACTCCATACTCCATACTCCATACTCCATATTCCACCCACATCACATATACCGATTAATTTTAAGCCTTACTCTCACCCTCACCCTCATCCACCCAACATCGAAATAGATATACTCGAGTATTACTACTCGAATACTCAGTACTATAATACACAAGCACAACATAACATATTAGCCCCTCTACCCCCAGATCTCAAAACATCTGGAAACATAGCTCTACTAGCTCTAGCTCTAGGTTAGCTCTAACTCTATAATTTTCCTTTTCCTATTTCTTTTTATATATATTAATAGTAATATCTAATTACCCAATTACCCAATTATCCAACCGTCCACAAGTACCTCGCTACCCCTAACTTCTCTTTTCTATTTTATCTTGATTCCTAATTTCCTACTACAACTACACTAGCAATATTTACACTTACTTATTTACTATCCGAATCATTATTGTTATAATAATAAAAATAACAACAACAATAACATTTCAAAACTCACTTCTTTCTTTCTTTCTTTCTTTATTTATTTTTTGGTAATAATACACGTGTAATAATATCAAGATACGATTGTACGGAGAATATAATTTTTTTGGTCTAATAATAACTAACTAATCAACTAATTATCAGACATAAATACTCCAGATAGACGAATATTGGATATACTAGTAGGGAATTGGGATTGTAATATTCGGACCCAACTGTCATGGCCTATATGAAATCTTTGATAACGATGTTGGGGAGATACAACAACTGTGTAAAATGTAATAATGGTTTCTCTGTACAGTAGATAGATATCGTTGCTATATACTATACTATGTTAATGAGTAATGAGTAATGAGTAATGTATGGTTTACGAGGAGAGGACTCTTTAGAGATCATCTAACACGGGTACGAAGTCATGTTGTTCTCACATCGACTTGAAGATATAGATCATAGCTCTCAGGTTTGTTTGTTTGTTTATTTATTTATAATATTGAATTAGATTTCAGGTATATACACTAGTATACTAGTATACACGAGAATCCATAACTTAAATAGTCCTTATATAATATAACATCTGCAATTCCGGGACTCGGATACGAAAACAACGCCATAAATAATATCATTTGAATAAAAACCATTTCCTTGGTAGAGAGGGAGAGGGAGAATGCTCAAGGATCATATCATATTATTATCCAGGTCTTGTCTTTGAAGAAAGGTAAACACTAATTAGCAACTAAGTTGAAGTGTCATATCATTCATTCCCCGCCCTTTTAAAAGTAGACAAGTAGACAAGCCAAAGGAAAGAAAGGAAATCACTACGAACTATCCAGCCTATCCTATCTTCTTGATATAATACTCGAGTTGCTGGTTACACCCTTTCAAAAGTAGACAAGCCAAAGAGAAACATTACGAGCTATCCTGCCTATCCTATTTTCTTGACTTCAAGTTAATGCTCGAGTCGCTGGTCGCGCCAACTAACCTTCGACGTTCGTTAGATCCAATGATCAAATTCAGAAGAGCTGTATGATATGTGTATGTGTATATACCCAATACCTATAAAAGCGATCATACGGTAATAGCTACCCAGCTAGCAGCCTGAGATCTATCGGCAGGGCATTGATATCATATCATGAGAATGTTCTGCGATGAGATCATCTGAGATCGCCTTGTCTTATATGATTCTTGATTCGTGATTAGAGACTCTAGACGATAGATAATAGCTGGGTGAATAGCGAGCGATATTATCAGATAGATAGATAGATATACGCTCTACTTGTATCAAATTACTCGAGTAGTAGCCTGAGCCTATCGAGAGAAATACTGTACCCAATTGTCGGTTTGTTAATATACTTCTAGGATCTCAAGAATTGTAAAGTCTTCTATTCGATACTATACCTTGACTGTACCTTGATATACAATGTTTAAATAAATTGTTTATTGATAAAGAAGGCAATTCGAAGTGAAACTGTCGAGTCGAAGGGTACTACTTAGGTATATATCATATCATATGCACACTCAAGCCTCGATCATCGCGTGTGTGCGTGGGATTGGAAACACTCGTTCGTCTCTGCATCTTATCTCATAAGTTTATGGTTAATATTCGGAATATGGCATGGTTTCTATCTATCACAATACCGGTTGTAGGGGTTCTTTTGAAACAAATCGAATCAAGTGATGGAGAGAGTTTAAGATGAAGTAGGAAGACTTTTGTCAGCAGTATATCCAGGCATGAGGGGTGAGGGCGATGGGCTTAATGAGGGCGATACTTAATGAGGGCGATCCTAGTAAAAGCGATAACTGAATGAGGGGCGATGCTTAATAAGGAACAATGTTAAATGAAGTGTGACATTTAGTGAGGCAATGAGGCAATGCTAGGTAGTGAGGGCGATAAGATGAAAAGCATCCGTTATCTCATTCATCATCATTGACCGCCTTGAGAGCCAAACTTTGCTATGTTCGGTACTTGTACTAGATACCAGATACCTAGTTGTCGATCCGCGGAAGACTTAGGTATGGTATAAAGATGTAAAGAAGGAAGTCAAAAGGGCGTAAAGAAATGTATGCATGCATCGATATATACCCCGTGCCAGGAGTTTCTTTGATTCTTTGTTTGATACTATAGTATACTTACTTACTGTAAAGCACACTGAAAACCTCTGTTATTCTCCTCTCATCTCTTCAGTAAAAGTATGAGTTAATTTTCAAAAATCGTATCGTAATATATATGTTGTGTGATGAATTTCTATTCATATTCATGTTCATGCTGTGTTGATGATTGATTGATGAATTGATGAATTGATAAACTGTTGCATTGCATTGCATTGAATTGATTACCTATGAAGATGTGTGACATCGGTGAAAGTTTATTGTAACTTCCGTATGGATTTTCTTGGTTACGCGACAGATCAATGGATCTTAATGGCGTTTTGTGGGGGAAATCCTTGAAAGACTTGCGTTGCGGTTGGACGGCTTTTTGGCTTTTTTAAAGGAAGGGTGAGGAAGTGGTAAGGGGTCCAACCAACCAGATTGAAAAGGGCAAAGGGCGACCATCTGATCAAAGATATGTGAAAGGGGGAAGGGGGGAAGGGGGAGGGATAGGATTATATGAGGAGGGAAGATGGAGATGGAGATGGAGATGGGAGATGGGGAGATGAGAGATGGGATGGCGGCGATGAGGGATATGGATGACCTAGGGTATTTGTATTTATGAATAAGGAGGAATGATGAAGATGGATGTATGATATGATGTGAATGAAGGTATTGTATTGATCATATATCAATACGGTAATGAATACCAACGAGCGAGCGACGACATCAATAAAGTTCAAACTCATGTATGAGAATGGATACATGACTCGAGATATAACGAATGAAAAGAAAAAGTCTCGATAAGCCTTCGTACGGTACTAGTGTAACCTTTCTTATCCTTCACTTCAAACTTGCCTCAAATGGTCGAGTATCGCGCCAATAGATAAATGAGACAAGACTACCTAACTTATAGGAATAGTAGTTTCGATATCACAAGCAAGTAAAAGTATAGAGAATGACTGATTTTGATACATTGAACGACAACAAGGAAGAAAAAAGAATAAGACTCATCAGATTGTAGTAAAGGGTGTCTCTATCTATACATCTATACCTCATCATCTACCTCATAACCTCATACCTCTTACTTTTTACCTCTTATTACCTACTACAAATTGTTACTTTACTCTTCTTCTTCTTCTTCTTATCTATAATTCATCTTCTATTCAACTCATTCACTCCGTTCGCCCTACTCGAATATAACTCAACAACTCATTCATAAATCAATACGCCATACCTAGACTTCCTCACACAATCAGCAATCAACCAACAAATCAGTAAAACCTGCCATCCGCCCATCAATCATCCACCATCCACCATCCACCCATCTCGAATCATCCAACTGATTTGTTTATCAATATCGTGAATACAAAACAACCTTCCTACTCTCAACCTTTGTTTGTGATACTCCAAATAAACGGCTTTTCGTCGAATCATTAACTTGAACTCGGCAGTTTATCTACAAACAACCATTCGTTATCCTAGAACCTCGACAATAACCAGCCAACCGGCTTTCATCAACCCTTCTCCGCCATCAACATCGTACAACACACGAGCCGCATCTACCTTTTGCCTTTCTGCCGTCTACCTTGACAAGAAGCTTGAACTGTTTTCTTGAGGCTTGCCAATAACTAACGGAGGGCGCATACAAAGGAAGCTCAACCTCGCTACCGTTACCTAACATATTCTCTCATTGTACAACCTCCCACCTTAAACCTCCAAAACCACTCAACTTCAACCTATCCTATACTTCTATCAAACGACAATAAGTGTGTCGATGCAGACGATCTCTTCATCAACGATATAGCCTCTTTTGAGTTGTTCAGTTGTGGGGAGGATATTTTGAGGAACTGAGAAGGTTATTAAACCTTCGAGGTCAAACAATCGCAGTAATGGCGTCAAAGACTCCTTCGTCTTCGTCGTCAAGGCGACCAAGGACGACTACACATGATGTTGGTGTGGGATCCTTTCATATCGACAAGGAGATTGGTAAAGGGAGCTTTGCCACTGTCTATCGAGGCACACATAAAGTATGTAACCGTGAGATGGATAGAAGACTTGTTATCATGTTTACTGTTCACCACAAGAACTTGAATAGCTCAAAACTTTACCACTTGCATACCATTTTTCCTGATGACCATAATGCTAACATATTTCGTCATAGCCCACTGGATCTCTCGTGGCGATAAAGTCTGTAAACCTAGCCAAACTCAACAAGAAGCTGAAAGATAATCTATACTGCGAAATCGAAATATTGAAAGGTCTCCATCATCCTCATATCGTTGCCCTGATCGATTGCAGAGAATCTACGTCACATATACATTTGATGATGGAATATTGTGAATTGGGGGATTTATCATATTTCATCAAGAAGAGAGATAAGCTGGCCGATAACCCTACACTCACTGAGATGATCCGGAAATACCCTATGCCAATCGATGGCGGACTCAACGAAGTTATCGTTCGACACTTTTTCAAACAATTGGCTAGTGCTATGGAATTTTTGAGGGATCGGGGGTTCATACATAGGGATGTCAAGCCACAAAACCTTCTTCTACTTCCATCACCGGATTGGATGGCAAAGAGGAAAGGTGCACCAGAAGTCATGACAGCAAGCAAGGAACCTATCGTACCTATGGTTGGAATCAACTCACTACCAATGCTTAAGTTGGCAGACTTTGGATTTGCTCGATCGTTACCGTCTACTTCGCTTGCCGAGACTCTATGCGGTTCACCCCTATACATGGCACCTGAAATTTTACGTTATGAGAAGTATGATGCACGAGCTGATCTGTGGTCGATTGGAACCGTTCTTTACGAAATGATGACTGGAAAACCACCATTTAGAGCATCGAATCATGTTGAATTATTACGCAGAATCGAACAAAATGAAGATGGCATTAGATTCAGTAGTAAGGCAGTGATCAGCAGAGAGATGAAGGATATCGTTCGAGGATTTCTCAAGAGAAAACCAGACGATCGAATCACCTTTAAAGATTTCTTTGCCCACCCCGTTGTGACTGGACCAATTCCTGGCCTGGTTGGGGAGGATCGACTCCAGGAAATTGTTACGTCCTCGAGATCACCGGAAGCCTCGATAGCCCGGCATACATCTTTGAGAGAACACAGAGCTGGAAATCGACTTTCTGAGCATCTTGAGATGGCACAGGAACCAGCCATTGCGAGAGATACGCTGGAGCAATCTCCAAGAGCTCCAGATATAGAAGCCAACCAACATTTCGGAACACCAGCTCGTCAGCCTGGCCGTCCAGGGTCAAGCGATCGGCCTTCCGCAATTTCTACTGCAACTGCTCCAAACGCAGATACCTTACCAAGGCAAAGAGACCGCGCGGAACGACAGTTTACTCCGATGGGAAGACCTGGATCCAGGAAACAATCCTACGATGAACAAGAGATACTGCATGTACAGGAAGCGATTCCATCTAGTGATTCAATAACAGAAGCCGAACAGGCTGTTCGAGATGCTAGAGAATATGTTCTCGTTGAGAAGAAAGCAGTTGAAGTGAATGCCTTTGCAGATGAGATGGCTGCAAGTCCACGACTTACACATGCCAATCAATTACCGAAGCAATTGCCTAGAAGACACACATCCATGGGGGCCCTAAATTCGACATCAGGAGCGGTATCTGTACCACCTTCACGTGCCGTGCAGAAAGCGCAAGGAAATACTCGACCAGATACATCAGCCAGAAATTCATACGGCTCATATGGTAAACTTGGTAGCAGCCCATCAACTGCTTCAGCTATAGCGAAAGCACTTCAGGGCGCCAGCGTGAGGGTTTTTGGGGTTTCTTGGTCTCCAACACTCATTGGAAAAGGTCCTCCACAACAATTATACAATCCTTATCCCATTTATCCAACACCTAATGCGGGGTTGATAGGAGATGGCCGACCTATTGATGAGGATCAAAGAGTTGTGAATGTTATAGAGGATTGTGCAACTCGAAGTGATGTTGTTTATGGATTTGCTGAAGTCAAATATCGACAACTCATTCCATTGGCTCCATCTATGAACCACGGCCTTGGGGGTTCAAATGCCGAAAAAGTGGGCGAGGCAATGGATGAAGATGATGGTTTAACTGTGGAAGCTATCGTGAGTTTATCCGAGGAAGCACTTGTACTATATGTCAAATCATTATCCCTGCTCTCAAAATCTATGGATATCGCTGGAGCTTGGTGGTTACGAAAGAATCGGGGCGAAATCATCAGCGGAGGTCACACACCACGAAGCGACCCGTCGTCAGCAGTTCAAGCTGGAAATCGTATCAATGGTGCAGTTCAATGGGTTCGAACCAGATTCAACGAAGTCTTGGAGAAGGCCGAACTTGTTCGACTCAAATTGATCGAGGCTCAAAAACGACTTCCCGAAGATCATCCGGGGCATCCGAGTAATCATACAACCGCCTCGAGATTAGTTGGTGGATCTTCAACCACTGATGGTGTTGTACTGAGCTCTGGTATCACTGCTGAGAAGTTGATGTATGACCGTGCTCTTGAGATGAGTCGCACAGCTGCTATTAATGAGTTAGCAAACGAGGATCTTCCTGGTTGTGAAATTTCATACACTACCGCCATTAGAATGCTTGAAGCTGTTCTCGAAAATGATGAAGAGCTTATTCCTCGAAAGAGATCATCTAACTTGCGAGAAGACAAGGAGAAATGCGAGGGTGGAGAAATCAATGGTATCAATATTGGGGATAGGAAGGATGTTTTGAAAGGTATCCACTCACTCTAACGTCGTAAATCCTGACACTCGAAAATACTGACCCGGAAATAGTCCTTCAAATGATCCGTACCCGTCTTCATGTCCTTAAAAAGAAAATGGCAGTCATCGCTAAACATCAATCGATGCCACCTCAACCATCTCCACGATATAGTCATAGCGGAGGAACCACACCTACTATTGCTAATACACCACCGCATTAAAGAATACACAGGCAAGCAAGAAAGCTGGACTTTTCAGTTCGTCAAATGCATTATGATAACATGGACGCAAACGCAAAGGCATATCTCGGGCGTTTTTTTGTTTTCTTTTCAATTTTTACTTCTTCATCTCTCTTCTTTTCTGATTCATCTCAATTCGAATTCTTGTACGAGTTTGTAGAAATCTGCAGGGGCAGTTTTTGTGTGGATTTGGTGGTTCTTTCTTTTCAACTCGAGGATCCTGGATTTCTTCTTTATGTGTGGAAACTTTCATATGAGGGGAGCAGGCAGGCATTCATTCCTTTTCGCAATTGATATTTATGATGGTTGGGAAGGTTAGGATTGGATTGGCGTTCTTCATAACTAGTATCATTATCGAGTTTTGGAGCTTGGGAATACCCCCATCTGCTCGTTGCTCGGTTTTCTTTCCTTTTCTTTTCATGAATGCGTTGTACAATGGGGTTAGGATAGGGATAGGGATAGGGAGGATGATTGGATGGATGGATGGATATGGTAGGGATAGTTAGGTTGGGGATCGTGGATATGGATATGGATATGGACATGGATATGGATATGGTAGTTAGGTGCTTGATAGTGCTTGGTAGAGATCAGATTGCACGCATGCATACGCAAATTGGTTGGTTGGATGAATTGAATTGGATTGATTGAATTGTATTGTATTGAATTGAATTGAACTAAACTGAATTGGACACTCCCTCTCTTCTCTTTCGACAAGGCAC